TCCGTGTGTGTTTAGATGTAATAGCTTCTAAACGCATGTTTTCTCTACAGAGTCGTGTAGCGTGCAGCCGTCGGGCATGGAAAATGCCGCCGCCACGATTACAGCATCTTCCGTCCACTCAAGCTGCTCAACGGAGAAGGCGCTGTTAAATTCAGAAGAAGAGCCTTCAGGTGTCCCATCCGCAGCAGCATGGTGCGCCGATAGTGTGAACCCATTTGGACAGTGGCTTCAGGTACAATATCTACTAACTTATATCTACTACCTTAACAATGACATCCTATCGATCCATTCTATAGTACTATAATAATAGGACTATGAAACATTGTGACATGTAATTGAGAACGTCTTGAGGTTATAGAAATAGTTTATTATGAAAATGAAGATCTAATTTGCATACTTAATGGGAAATTGTTATAATTTCATAGTTGTAAATGCTGGTAATTTCATACTTGTCGCATTTGGAAGTTAAGTTAAGCAGATTTTAAAGGGGATATTACGTATACCATTCTCAAGCTGCCATCTGATTATCTATTAGCCACAATTAAAGCTCTGAATTTGAGAACAGGACGAGTTTTAAAATAATTTTCTAAATATAGGTTCCTCAGTCTGCCATTTTGCTTCGAAAAATTAGTCTACCAACAGGTATCCTTGTATATATTTTACCATGTATATATACATTTTAGGGCAAAGGTGAAATCGCTGTCTCAGACTAATCGACATATGTCAAGACGCTGTTGAAAACTGTGTGTTTCATTTCTTGGAGTAGTCATTTTTGTCATACTGTCAATATCAAGAAAGTTTAAGGGGCAGACACCAGCCTTGTTTCGCGTTTTCATTCGAAGCTGCACACCCTCAAGTCTAGTGACCGTCTTTGCGGGGGAATAATTCGGAAGAAAAAATACTGCATTTGAGATTAAAGCATAATCCTTCAGCTACAAGACAAACTGAGTTTGGTTTCTTTAACCTCTTAAATTTTGCTAGGTAAACTTACCAAAAATTATTTACGACAAAACGAGGTTAGGAAAGGACTAATTTGGAGATTGTGTGGCCGCTTAACTAAGCTTCTGCTAAATATTCGTCCGCGACTTAAAAGTGCAACCTTTGGTATCTCGATTGGACCTTACTGTAAGAGTGATCAAACGAGCCGCAGAGGTAACAAGAATTCGGAGATATCATACCTCCATGAAATATGTAGAGTTTATGTAAAATTGTTATGGGGGGGATTTGTTTCATTGTATTTGGAAGTAAGGTCGTAATTAGTTTAATTTGTAGTTTTCAAAACTCAGATTACAATACATGTATTTTACGTGATGAATTCCTATCCTTTTGGCAATATTTCATTTCAACATATCCTCAATAATTATGCAAATGACCACTACATCTACATAATATTGATTTTTTTCAAGATATGCAAGTTTTCAATTTGGGGAGGGGTATCAAGTTACCGGGGGAAAAAAAGGCAATATTTTAACTGCCAAGACCAATGATTCCGAATTCTAATGTATAAGCCTCTCGTGTTTTTGTAACATGGTATAAAAATTCAGATCTTTGATTTAAAACAACCCACCCTATAGTAACTAGTATATATTGTCATTACAATTTATTGCCCAATAAACAACAGAATGTGGGGCCGTGTGGCGTAACGACAGCGCGTTAATTTGATTTGGAATCAAGGTGTTCCGAGTTGGAATCCTGCCATGTCATTGATCTTGTTCCCTTGGGAAAGGGGACATGCTCTTCACACGACTTTCCTAACTTAACAGGTGAAAATGAATACGTCTATTGTTTGTTCTTGCATTTGTCGAATAAATTGAAAAAAATCTGGGTGTGCCGTCACCATGTCTTCTGTTGTTGGAAAAAAAGAGCAACAAGGGGTAAGTGTTTTGCAATCCTTTGTGAAACAGATGATTCATTTCCGAAAATACAGTAGCAGTGCAAAGTATCTGCGAAAACTATCTTTGATGTGTATAACTCATTGGCTACATCTTGAAATAGTGATTACTTTTTTATTTGAAATAAATGTAATTTTTACACTAGTAATGTTTGCATTAATTTCCCCTTTTTACCTCCATGAAAAATGGAGGTATTGTTTTTGGCGCGTCTGTCTGTATGTATGTATGTATGTATGTGTGTGTGTCTGTGTGTCTGTCTGTGTTTCCGCAACTTTGTGGTCAGCATAACTTCAGAACGCCTTTATGGATTATGATGATATTTGGTATGTTGGTTAGTCTTAGGAAGACAAATGTCAAGGTCAAATATGGGCCTCCTGGTGGATGACCTTGGTACTGCAGCAGAACTTCCGGTTTTTGTATCTTTTGTCCTGAACATGCTATGGTCTTGATGTATTGGTGACAGATTGCTTTTCCTGTCAGAAATAAGTGGTGTGAGTTTGGTCCCCCTAGCAGCTAGTTTTGGAACTGCAGGGCACTTTCTGCCGAAATGTTTAAAAGCCAATAAGTCCAGATAGGAACAACATATTTTAATAATTTTTGATGTGTAGGTAGCTAAGAGAGAGATGTACATGATTAAATGCAAATTATGCAAATGAGGACTTTATTTTCATAATTAATGAGGAGATTCTATGATTACAGTGTTTTACATTATACTACTTTCATACATGTAATGTATGTAACCTATGGCAGGCAGAACATCAACAGATACTAATTATGCAAATGATGACCTAATTTGCATAATTTATGCAAAAATTCTATGATTTCTTAATGGTGAATAATGGGAATGTCATACTTTGGACATCTGTAAGTTAATCAAAAGTTAACATACATCACGATGCATATATCATGTTAATGCGGAGGTAATTTGCATAATAAAAGAGGAAATTTACATATCAAGCCCATATTTCATGGAGGTATGAAATCTCGAAATTCTTGTTTACATATTGTAATGATTGTGGTTCTAACAATCTTTGTATACTATATTACTAGGCCTAGCATACGTTGTGATGGGAGGGTGTGAACCCTCGCCACACATGTACACAGATTGTCGACATTCCTATTTAACTCCCTCGGCATCTTATCTGTCTACTAGTATTTAGCCATTTTCTAGGTCTACTCTTTCCAGCAGCCTCTCGGAGACTAAAGATACATCCATTCTACTTTCGACGATGGTGACTCGTCCCCTGTCGAAATGAAACAAATCATCTTCTCGTCATTTCCTTTGTGCATATTCAACCGTGATAAAAGGAACTTGGAACAACGTGTTCTGTGCAAATGCTTACGTTCATCCTTGTAGAGGTGGCCCAGCGGCTTTAACTCAAAAGAGGCTTCGACCGTCGTGTATTTTTACTCAAGAAAATAAATAGAAAATAATAGAATGCTGCA